TATTCTGATTTAGTGTAAAGATGTGAACAAACCAATGGATTAGTTTTCAGTTTAGTTGTCACTTTACATCATTTGAGATTGAGGAGAGAAATATAACTAAATGCACACTAATTGACCTTCTAAAGAGGTGAATGAGTTTTGAAACACACAACTTTAAATTTAATTTAAGATAAAATAAATAAATAAATAAATAAATAAATCAATAAATAAAAAAAATCATCTACTGCTCATTAACACAGAGAACCATTGATACAAGTGATCATAATGAGCCTTCTTTTATTGAAACAAGTGTGTACTGAAATTTAAAAGTAAGCTCTCATTGTTGACAACTGATATAATGAGCCATCTTTGAGATAAATATATGAAAGTGATTATAATAGTATACATGGTAGGAAGATTGGAGCAATCTGTTGATCATTTCTTAACTTTGGGAATGAGGACCAAGGGATGTTCCTTCTGCAATGTCACAGCAACCTTCTCATTCATGTCTAGCTCAATGGGATCATTTCCATGTGGAAGTGACCAATCAAAACAATGAATCAATGAAGCAACTATCAAAGGAACAAGCTTTGCTGCCATGGGTAGGCCAGGGCAAATTCTTCTCCCTGCACCAAAGGGTAGGAACTCAAAATCATTCCCTTTGAAATCCAAAGTCGAGTTGAGGAACCGCTCTGGCTTAAATTTCAATGGATCTTCCCAAATCATGGGGTCTCGCCCAATCGCCCAAACGTTTAGTAGTACTTGAGAATTCTTAGGAATGGCGTAATTCATCACTTTGCACGAGTTAGGTGAACTGTGAGGAAGCAGAAATGGTCCTGGAGGGTGCAACCTTAGAGTTTCTTTGAAACAGGCTTGTAGGTAATGTAGTTGTGGTAGATGGGTTTCTTTTAGCAAATCTTGTTTGGTTTCTCTTGTCAATTCGTTGTGGACTTTCTTCATGGATTCTGGATTTTTTATCAATTCTGCCATCGCCCATTCAATCGTTGAGGTACTAGTGTCTGTACCAGCAGCGAATAGCTCCTGAGAATGCATCATGTGAATGATTGATTTTTAGATTATATGCCAAACAATTGGGGCTGAAACCTCAATAGAAAACGAAAAAACTAATGCAATGCTAGTTATCTCCATATCGATGTAATTTGTGGAGTCACTGACCCTACCACAGCTAAGAATAGTATGGAAAAACTTGAGTCTGAATCAAGCCAAACTAGTCCTGTTGAAGCTTGACAAGGCTAGTTGTGCCTCGTTCTAATTAAGAGCAGTGATAGAGAACCCGAATGTTTCTACCGAAATAATCGCCGAATCTTACGTGGCTTTGTCCACGTTAAATAATTTCATTACCTAACTCTTTATTATCGATTTTTTCTCTCCTAGTTTTTCCTTTTTCTCTCTCTTCTCTTATTTTCTCTCTCCTCTCCGTGTCTGGTTCTTCACCAATTCTTCTTATACATCCTCTCTCTTGATATACACATGTCCAAAGTATTCTAGAGACAAGATCCAAAATTCTTTATCCTCGCTCCTTTTTCAAGATCACCTACTTTTTTCTATTCATAAATCTTCAAAAAATAAATCTTTCCAATCCCAGATGAAAAATATGCAGAAGAAATTTTTTTTTTTTTTTTGGATAAGTAAATATCCACACAAGAGTGGCCATTACAATATACATTAATCTCTTACAAAAAAAAAAAAAACACACACACACACACAAGAGAAGAGAAACCGATGAATCTTCTCAAAATTTCTGTTTGATTTTTATGAATACAAAATCTGAATAAGAGAAATTGTAGCTTTTATTTTCTTTTTCTTTTTTGTTCTATTTTGGTTTTGTGCTTCTATATTTGCAAAACATGAAGAAATTTCATTTTTTTATTTATTTTATCTCCAATTTTACAAAATCGAAAGAAGAGACAAAACCAAAATCAAAGATAATATTGAATACAGAAGAAAGAAGAAAAATCGGAGGAGAGAGAAGGAAAGAGGTAGGAAGAGAGGAGAGAGAAGGAAAGAGGTAGGAGTTATGTTTTTAGAAAATAATCTGACGTGGCTTAGCCACGTTAAATTCGACATTTTATTCGGTTGTTTGGCTCTGCTCACTTACCATTTTCCTCTAATTAATTAATCTGCATTCTATTCATGTCAAAGACTTAAAATCTGACTCTCATTACATAGTTCTCTAACCTGGCACCAGTCAGTTTACATTTTAGTATTGCCTTCTTGCTTTTGACAGCAAAGATGGTTTCCATATGATTTCAGTTGAAAGAAATTACTTCACAAAATGCAAAACTAACCTGTAATTTTTTATTATTTCTACATTAGAGTTCAAAGCTTGAACATTTCCCTTATGGTGATTTTCTTAGAGGGTTATGTTATCTCAACTTCATCAGATGATCATGAACAAAAAAAAATTGACCTCAAATTTCACGGAATAAGCTTGCTTGTTTACCAGCCCTGATAAAAAGATCAAATGTAGTGACCAAGCTTTCCTTATGACTCTAGCTAGTATCTCCCCAAAATGGTATATAGCCTTGTATTAATTTGTGTATATATAATATGCATAGAGAGGAGAGAATAGAGCAAACCAGGAGCAGATAGTTGATTTGATCATTGCTACAAGAATTGTCAATGAGGGCGTCCAAGAAGTCCTTTTGGCTTGAAGCATTGCCTCTTCTTCCGTCTCTTCTGTCTTCGATAATGGGCTCCCACGTAGCACAGATCCTCATAAACGCTTCCTTTGCCTTCTTGTTCAATCCCTGAAGATCTAATGCACCTAAAATTGGATAAAAATCAGACAGATTTGGAGCTGAAATCAACTCAATATATTTTCTTATAAAGCCCTTCATCCCTCCATCCACACCCTCTTTCTCCAAGCTAATTAAATCTCTTGATATCAAAGCATTACTCAACATGTTAAACACAGTGACAAAAACCAATTCTCCAACTTTCACTTCCTTTCCTTCCTTCGCCCACACAAACTTCACCATGTCCATTGCCTTTTTCTCTCTCAAACATGCTTGAGACTCCATTGCCTTGCCCGAGAACAGCTCACTTCTGCATATTGTTCTTAAATTCTTCCATCTATCATTGCACTCCAGTGCCCATCCAAGTGATAAGTGATTGAATTTTGAGCTTTTAGCTGGTACTGCACTAGGAACATTTCGCGCAGATAAGCTCCGATCATGGGTCTTGAGAATTTCCTCTGCAGCAGTTGTGGATGATCCGATGATCATGATTTGAGTTCCTAGTCTCAGCGACATGAGAGGGCCATACGACCGAGCAAAGTTTGTCAGGGTGATGTGAGGCTTTTTTCCCATATGAGGAATATTGCCCAATATTGGCCATGGACTTGGTCCTGGTGGAAGTGGTAGACTAGTTTTTGATAAGAAATAAGATTTGAAATGCTTCAGGATGAAGAAGATGATAGGCAAGAGGAGTATACGAAAGAAGAGATAGGTTGCTTCTCTTGCAATAGTCTCAGTCATGACTTGCAGTATCAAGATCTGGCTTTTTGCAGTGTGATTGTATTGTTGTCAAATAGCTTATATTGTCTACAGAGGATGCATATTTGGTGGTCAACCAACTGATGCAAAGAAAAATTTAGGTTACGTACCCTATCCTCTCTCTGTGTATATGTTTGTTAAGCCGGCAATCTTGATTGCAAAGTTGACTTGCCCAATTTACAAATTGCCCCAACTGCCCCTATTTTTTTTTCTTAAGACGAGATACTGTTAGATTATATAGCCTGTCCATAGAATTGCTCCTCTCTTGAAGCACTTTGAGATCGTCATATTCCTCAAGCTCTCATATGATTGCATAAAAAGTGACTTCTATTTATAAAACATTATCTTTCACCGTCGGGTTTTAGAATATGATCCATTATACTAATATCCTATAATTTCCCCGGGAAAAATATATATATATATATATATATATATATATATACAGCAATCTTGATTGCAAAGTTGACTTGCCCAATTTACAAATTGCCCCAACTGCCCCTATTTTTTTTTCTTAAGACGAGATACTATTAGATTATATAGCCTGTCCATAGAGTTGCTCCTCTCTTGAAGCACTTTGAGATCGTCATATTCCTCAAGCTCTCATATGATTGCATAAAAAGTGACTTCTATTTATAAAACATTATCTTTCACCGTTGGGTTTTAGAATATGATCCATTATACTAATATCCTATAATTTCTCCGGGAATATATATATATATATATCCATGATCTCCTTTACGTCAAAAATAATACTCTGTTATAACATTAATGGTGTTGATTTAAATTGTCTCACAGTTGAATAAAGAATAAAGAATAAAGAATAAAGATTAAATTTAATCGATCATGTAAGAATTATGATTTTTTTTTTATTATTTTACTTTTTGAGTCCAAGCTTGAGTAAAGAGTGTTATGGAATAAAGATAAAGAGAAAAATAATGACAAGAAAATAAATAGGCATACACAAATGAGATAAGGATTTATATGTGGTTCACCCTCATAAATTGGGTTACATCCACAGGCGATGATGGTTTGTATCACTATAAAGAAGAAGATTATAAACTGAAGAACGTTTTGGTTCTTCCTCACAATAATCTCTCTCTCACACCATTCACTCACTAATAAAGAAGACTCATTCAATACTCAAGAAATACCCCAAATAGTATATGGTTTACACAAATAGAAAAAAATGTAATATTTGTGAATCTCACCATTTTCCATTTTTTTGGAATTTTTCGTTCATGCAAGGGCATTCTTGTCTTTTCTTGTTTGGCGTGCCGGTTGTGTTCGAGAGTTGGTTAGGATATTTCATTGAGTCCAGGACTCTTCGAAATGCTAAGGTTGCCATTTTTGCATTTTTCCGTTTTTTAGGCAGGACAGTTCCTTGTGGGACCCGTTGCCGGAACTGTCGCCTACGGGGGTTTTGGTTGAGTCTAATTGCATCGCATTTATTTATTTAATGTGTTATGTGTGGTTGTAATTTATTGTGTGTGTATGTATATAATTAAGTGTGGTGGAAAATTAAGTTGAAAAATTCAAAAGGAATAATGGTGGACCCACCACTTATCCTTAAAGGGCTTTGAGACCAAGTTTGGTCTCCATTTTCTCTCTCTCCCGTATGTATTCTCTCTCCCTCATTTCTTGATTTTTTTTTTTTTTTCCTTCATCAAAGATTCAAACTTTGATCTCTTCTTCATCTTTTAGAGTTTTAAAGTGCCGTTTGCGGCAAATTAAAAAGCGCATCGTGATCTTTGATTTGATCGGAGCAATTCCTCGTTTGGTGCACCTTGGGATTTCGAAATTCTAAGGCTTGAATTTGGGAAAAATTGGGACTTTTCATCAATTTGAGGTAGGGGTGCTCTAATCCACAATTTATTAGATTTCTTGTGAAATTTTCCTTTAATTTGACTCTAAGCATGCTTAATTGTAATTATTTTGATTATGTTTGTTGTGGTTATTGGTATTTAAGGAGATAAAGGCATGTTATGTGTTAAGTGAACTTATGAATATGATTAAATTATTGTAGTAAAGAAGCATGCTTAGTGTTGATGTAATTTTATGTTCTATGATTTTAAATTACTACGAAAAATGATGTTGTAGTTATGAAAATAAATGACTTTATTTTATGCCTTATGTATTTAAGTTGTTGGACTTGCGAATTGGAAGTATGTAAAATGTTATGAATTAGAAATATGAGAATGTGATATTGTGTGGAAATTTATGTTTTAAAAATGCTTGAATGATGTGAATGATATGTATGAAATTTTTATATTGTCATGGCATTGAAGGATTTGCATAATTCATGCATTACCATTGGGAAAGTAAAGGGAAAAGTTTGTTTTAAAAACAAATGAAATTGTTTTTGGGAATTTTTTTTTTTTTTTTGAAAAGTGTTTGTAAAAACCGGACGCCTAGGAGGCGCCTAGCAGTCCGTGTTGTTAGTGTAGTCTATAAGGGAGTATCGTTGAGCTAACTAGGCCGGATGCGACGCCTTGGAGATGCCTTATGGTCGTGGATAGTTAGTCAACCCTCCATTCGTAACGCCTTGAAGGTGCCTTGGGTCGGATTTCACTAACGGTTTGGAAGTTAAAACGGTATTGTTTCGAAAATGGGGAGCGACATGGCATAGCAAGGTATTTCATTGGCATACATTGTACATTTGGTGGTTAGACGACTTACGTATATATTTGTTGATATTATCGTTGTTTTACTTGTTTTCCCCGAGGCATGATCCCATTTACTTGTACTCTATTCCTTATGTGGATTCACGGGGTCGTAAGAAGTGTGTCTTAGACACTTTCTACTGAGCGTTTAGCTCACTCCATTATTTTAACATTTTTCAGGATACGGGAAGGAAGTGGTGGACGACGCTCCTCCACAGGTTTTGATAGGTTAGTGGACTGTTTTGATATACTTTGTAGCCATGGTCTCATTTTATTATTGTTATTTATTTATTTTATTTTATTTATAAACCTTAGGATGACACGTATATTAAGTATTGACATAGGAAAGAACGGTAACGTCTTTAGTTGACCTCGGGTTCGGGTAAGGACCCGGTTAGCGATTCGGACCCTTGAGTCGGGGTCGTTACAAAAAACCCACCCAAATACAAACTTCAACTCTCTTGAAGATTGTACACACAAAACTAATATACTCTCTTGATCCGAATATTATCTTACTCTTGGATGACTTTCAGATATTTTTCATCAAATGAGTGCAAGGCTATTTATCGCCAAAAATATACTTAGTGTCCAAGTATATTACAAAGCTTCATTTAGAAGCCAAATAACACTTGTTGCCCAAAAATAATTCTTGCTGCCCAAGAATTTCAAAGCTTCCTTCGGAAGCTAATTTTGGAAGCTTCACCATCATACTTCTTTAGCCAAAAGATTTTTGCCATGTCATAAATGAATTTTAGACAAATTTCTAACAAAGAGTCCAACTGAGCTTTTGACTATCCAAGCTTGAGTAGGAGTTGAGCCCATACAGTTGTAACGGTAAAAATAATATTCCAAGTAATTAAATATGTAGACATCCAATGGATTGGTCACTTTACATCATTTGAGGATTGACGAGGGAATTAGATCATGTGACGACCCGAACCTAGAGTCCTGAAGCGTTAGCCGAGTCCTTACTCGAACCCGAGGTCATCTGCGTCAAACCTATCATTTCCAACGTCAAAACATCTTATGTAAGATCAAACTAAGTTCTCCCAAAGGTTCTAAACATAACCCAAGAGTCAAGAGTAGGATGATAAGGAAAGAAGAGCAAAACAAATCCAACATGTGCACTTCGGTCGATCGAAGTGGAGCTTCGGTCGGCCGAAGCAAGCCCTCAAGAACCGGTCAACCGATACTCTTCTTCGGTCCACCGAAGGTGAGATATTGAGAGCAAGAGGATGGTTCAGTCTACCGAAATAGGAGATCCCGAGAGTTGCAATCAGTTCGATCGACCGATGAGCCATTTCGGTTGACTGAAATGACTCCTTCGAGTCCTGATCCTGCAATTAACCTGCTGCACTTGGAAAATGAACTGAAATGGTTAAGGGAAACTTTAAAATGACCCGGACCTGAACTAAGCCATTAATTATAAACATTCAACGCTCATGAACTAATGTGCCATCATATAATCACCTTACAATATCACTTGCTACAATTACATGAAGATATACACAACGATTGCATTAGTTTCATTTACACCAAATAAAGGATAGAATTCATCATTTAAGTTACAAGGTCGTAAATGTTAACTTAGTTACATTTCCAAAACAATAGACATACGAAATAATGGCCTAAGTACAAAATAGCAAGATGAAAAGCTTCCAACACTCCGTCAATTTTGTGGTGGATTGTCATCTGCCAACTTTTGGCCAAGACCTGAAAAATGATAAGTATATGGGGTGAGCAATTTGCTCAGTAGATGGCACTTAAGACACGTCTCTTGTGTCCCCATGAACCCACAACAAAGAATAGAACAATGGGAATGGGGATCATATCATGTCGGGATATATCAATATACTAATCAATCTCAAGTATAAACAATGTAATGCAATGGAATGCAATGCATACCGATGTCTCTCCCCAATTTCAACATTTAAAACCATTACTTTCAAATGGTTAATATAACCCGCCCTTTGGTGACCCCGCAGTAACACAAGAGAAGGATTAGCTAGTGTCCCTGACCCTTGGTACCCCTGCGGCTTCATTTTGGGCTCAGCTAGTTCAACCACGCTAGAGCAATCTCCCTAATTCCCTCTAGGCTATATTAACCCTCCGGCCCTTTGGTACCCCCATGACGACCGGGTTTTCATAAAACCAATTCATCAAAACATTTCCCCCAAAATTCCCTTTTTCATTTCAAAACAATTCCCTTCATGAAAACCCAATGATATGCACATGTATATGTCCCATGCTTTAAATGTCATAGAATTTAGAGAAATTATACTACACAATTAAGTATATTCTATATTCATCATCTAGAGTAATGTATCAACACAATACACATAACAAATCAACAACTAAGCATGTTTTTCACACCAAGCAACCCATATTCAGAATCATGCGTTTTCTAAACAATATGTAGAAGATCTTTAAGATAATTACCATTCAAATTAAGCATACTTGCAACACTTTATGAGATATGATTCACCAAGGAACAAGAAAAACATTAATTAAGAACCCCTACCTCAAATTGATGCAAAACCCTTAAAATGGGTCTCCAATTTTGAAATCCCTAAGGAGACTCAAAGCTAAAATTGTTGGTACTCACGCATAGAGCTCGTCGTGCTCTCCGTTTTGCCTCAAACGGCACTTAAAATTTCCAAGTATAGAGAAAGGAATCAAAGCTTGAAGTTTGCTTCCAAGAGAAAAGAAAAATAAAGAGAAATGAGAGTGAGAAAGAAAATTAGCGGGAGAGAGAAAGGATGAGAGACCATGTGTGGTCTCTAGACCACTTATGTGGTAGTGGTGGGTCCCACCAATTTTCTTTTATTTTTTCTTTTTTTTTTCTCTCAAAATTACACCACACATTTAAATACATGCACCACCAAGTAAATGCCACTTAATTCACATAAAATAAAATGTGTGAAATGCAAATGGACCCAACTAAAATCCCGTACAAAAAATGTGAAAAGACAGAAATACCCTCGCGGCGACGAAATTCCAAAAAATGAAAAATACTGAAAATTAGAAACATCACAATCTCCCCAACTTAAAAGGATTTCGTCCCCAAAATCAAGCCATACCTGGGAATGGAAACAACTCTGGGTACCTGGAGCGAACCTGTTGTTCAAACTCCCAAGTAGCCTCCTCGACTCCGTGGTGCCTCCAAAGAACTTTCACTAACTGTACTGTTTTGCCCCTTAACACCATCTGCCGAGTGTCAAGGATCTGTACTGGACCCTCTTCATAGGAGACATCCTCATCAACATTTACCTCAATCCAATCCAAAACATGAGATGGATCTGGTTCATATTTCCGTAGCATCGACACATGAAAAACATTGCGAACCCTATCCATCTGTGGTGGCAAAGCAAGTCTGTAGGCAACTTCTCCTACACGGTCCAAAATCTCAAACGGTCCAATGAATCGTGGCAACAACTTGCCACTCTTCCCGAACCTCATCAAACCCTTCCGTGGAGAAACTCGCAAAAAAACATGGTCACCCATCTTAAAAGATAGCGATCGTCTCCGCCTATCTGCATAGCTCTTTTGTCAGCTCTGAGCTGTGAGCAATCTCTGTCTGATCAATTTAATCTTCTCGGTAGTCTCGAGTACCATGTCGGGTGATGCGACTCGAACGTGTGCAAAAAATAATGCACAACACTTTGAGTTTGAAAATTAGTGTCAAGTGGGCATCATACTTAAATTTATAAACCGCTTAACACCTATACTATGTAGTATAAGTGAGAAGGGGTCGTCCCAAGGGATTATGAGGATCGAGCAATGTTGTGGAATCACAATTAGGGCTAATAGGTCGAGTGATCAAACAATAGGTTTGTTGGTTGATTAAAGAGCAACTAAATTAAATTAAGTGGTAGCAAAAGAATGCAATTAAGAGTAAGTAAGAGAGAGAGATCTTGGGGTTTAGAGATCACCACCAAGCAATGCATTTTTATACCATTGACAAGTGATTAATGAGGGCAAATAGTGTGTTACAATATTGGTGTGTGTGTGTTTGGTTGATTGATTCAACAAGCAAGGATGACTAGTTAATCATGTATTGTCTAAACATCATGTGAAAGGCACAATATATCTAAGCAATAAAGCATATATTGTCTAAACAACATGTGAAAGGCACAATAGATCAAAACAAGTCATTAATCCTTTCATTAAGCTCACAATCCAAATACAACACAAGGATAGAAACATATGCTAATTGCATTCAAAAGCTTGGATCATCAAACAACAAGCATAGATTGTCCTCCCATTTAACACTACACTACAACTACACTACATCTACACTACTAGCATGAAAATAAACTAGGGGAGAGGCACAATCCATCAAGAGATAAGAATCAACCATCAAGAGAATCACAAAAGCACTCCTTTAAGCACTATGTTTTGACAATCTCCAAATCTATAGCATCAATACATATAGACATGCATCAATAACACAAAATCTAGAGACAAGCACATGAACATCTATTCTAGCATACATAGACATATGGATAGAATGAAATGATCAATTGGAAGCATTAAACCACATAAATCATTGAATAAACAAGATCTATGTAAATCAAAGTGTCAAAACATCAACTACAACACTAATCCCTCAATAATACACAAGATTAAGATATAGAAAGCATGCTTGGGGCTAACTCTAGCCCCAAGAGGATGTCTAGCCACTCATGGTGATGATACTCCAACCCTCAAAGGCTAATTCCATGGTTGAAATCTGCTACTTGTTGATGAAAAACTTCAATGATGTCTCTAGCCTTCTCCTCCTCTAAACTTCCTCTCCCAGAGATGATATGAAAATAAATGTTTTCTCCTTTATAAAAAGTAATCCTTATCCTTATATAGGTAGGTCAAAATGACACCCAAAATGAACTGGGGTTGTGCACACAATATTCCCTAATGATTGGATAAAAGGACAACTTTCAATGGGAAGGAATTTTAACTTTTTTGCACTGGAGGAAGTTCGATTGATCGAACCTTGAACTTGGATCGATCGAAAGTAAGTGAGATCGATCAAACTTAGGCTGGATCGATCCAACTGGCTGAGCTTTTTGGAAAAAGACAAATCCGAGATATTTATGGGAGATATTTATGGGAAAAGGATAAAAATAGTTAGTGGGTGGTACAGTTGTGGATAGGATCAATCATTTGAATAAGGACAAAAGTGTTCGATCGATCGAAGGATAATGTTGGATCGATCGAACTTTTGGAAC